CTGACAGAGATCCGCCTGCCTCTGCCCCCCTGAGCGCTGGGATTGAAGGCGTGCATCACCGTGCCTGGCTTGAGTTTCTTCATTTCTAACGCGGTTCTGTGGGTCAGCGGGGCACCCTTGAGTGACGTGTTTGGAGAAGGCGTTTGAAGAAATAGATCTATATGCAACTAGGCAGCTCCACTGTTGGTCCTGCCCAACAATGAACGTGATCCCATCTATTGCTCTCCGGCTTGCTCCATCCCTTCAGCCTCCTCCTTCCTGAACCACGGGACCTTTGTCATTAGCTGTCCCCTCTGCCTGGAAACTCCTTTATCCAGATATTTCTTCACTAACCATTTAGCTTCCTTGGGTCCTCGACAGGAGCTGTGGTATGAGCTCTCAGCCACTGACCAATCCCTCCAGCCGCAGCCTCCCCACCCGCCTTCCCGCTCACGTTGCTTTACGATAAACTGTCTTTTGTCTTCTATCATGACGAAATCCTGCTTCATCCTCTCCAGGGCTGGGGTTACAGGCATCTTCCACCACGCCCAGCTTCAAATCCCAGTTTGCTGAGGCTCCCAGAACTCACTACCAACTGAAAGATGCTCCATAGCCTGCCCCCTACCCAGTTCTCTACTTCCCAGCTCAAATCCAGAGCCCTCGCCATCTTCTCTCGGATCCTATAACCTACTTACTGTATCCCAAAGAGAATGGCTGCCCACCCAGCAAATTCACGTTCCTTTGTTGGTACCAGGAAACTGTCCTTCACTGAAGAGCAGGGATAGGAGTTGTTTTCTGCTTTAAAAAAACTGTTCTTCAAAGGGGGGTGGCAGCACTCGCCTTTAATCCCAGCACTCTGGAGGCAGAGGCAGGCAGAGATCCAGGCCGGCCTGGTTTACAGAGTGAGTTCCAGGGCAGCCAAGGCTACACAGAGAAATCCCGTCTAGGAAAAAAAAAATTGTTCTTCATCCTTTGTTATTATTATTGTTGTTGTATTTTAGAGATCTTACCATGTAGCCTTGGCTGGCCTGAAATTCACTGTGTAGACCAGGCTTACCTTGAACATATATAGACAGCCACTTGCTTCCATCTTCTGAGTGCCGGCACGCTAAAAGCACATACTACAGTGGATAGCCCTAACCAATACCTTTTAATAAATGTCACTATCTATTTTATATACTCCTCCTGGTCATTTTTTTCCTATTTCAAATCTTCTGGGATATTCAGTTAGTTAGTTTTCTGGCCTGGTGCTTTTTTAGTTGTTTATTTTGAAAGGGTTTATTTTATGTAGATGACTGGGTTTGCCTCTGTGTATGTACGTGTACTGTGTATGTCTGGTGCCCTCGGAGGCCAGACATGGCCATCGGCTCCCCTGGAACTGGAGTCAGAGACGGTTGTGAGCCACCACATGGGTGCTGGGAATCACCATGGGTCCTCTGGAAGAGCGGCCAGTGCAGTAACCACTGAGCGGTCTGTGGGTGGGTGTGCTTGGGTGGGAGTATGTGAGCATGTGCGTGCAGGTGCCTTCAGAGGCCCGGAGAGGCCTTCAACTCCCTTGGGATTGGAGTGGTAGGCCGTTAAGAGCCTCTTGGCGTGAGTGCTGGGATCCAAACGGAGCTCTTCAAGATAGAGCAGCGAACACTCTTAACCACCAAGCCATCTTTCCAGCTATTTGTTTGAGACTGAGTCTTGCTAAGGAGCCTCGGTTAATCACATACTCCCTGTGTAACCCAGGCTGGCCTTGAACTCATGGTGATCCCCTGCCTTAATCTCCTAGGTGCTGTGATGGCAGATAGGTGCCACCAGGGCCAGTATTCGGTGGCTTTTTGAAAAGTAGAAGTCGCCGTGGTTATGTCTTAGAGGAGGCTCTACCGCTCTGCTTTTCTTGGTCCCAGCTGAAGCACCCCTCCACCAGCAGCAGCACACACATCACGTGCCCTTTCCCCATCTGGCATTGGTTCTACCAGTTTGATAATCTTGGCTGTAAGAGGCCTGGGGCTTGAACTCACCAAGTGTTCAGTGGCTTTCGGCCTTTGCTAAGATGGATACGGTTTGAGTGAGTCCAGTACTTGTGTGCTGGAAGCAGGGTGATGACATTGAGAAGTGGTGGGGCCTAGCATTTCGGGTTACTGAATTAAGGTAGTTCTCAAGAGAGTAAGTTGTGAGCTGACGAGATGTCTCAGCTGTTATGAACACTTACTGCTGTTTCAGGGGACCTGAATTCGGTTCCCAGCACCCACACTGGGTAACACACAATTTCCGGCATCTCCACTACCAAGGGATCTGGTGCCCTCTGCTGGCCTCTGCAGGCATCCATCCGTACATGGCATATACTCAGACACATGAAAACACTTAAATGAAAATAATAAAAAAAATTTAGAAGAGAAAATTGAGGGCTAGCAAGATGGCTCAGCAGGTAACGGTGCCTGCCTGGCAAGCCTGGAGACCTGAGTTCAATCCCCAGGAGCCATGTCAAAGTGGAAAAAGAAAACCAGTGCCACAAAGTTGTTCTCTGGTCTCCAGATGTGCGCAGTGATGTGTACACCCTCATCCTTAACATATCTCACACACACACACACACACACACACACACACACACACACACACTCGCACACACACACAATATAAGTTAGAAAATAAAACAAGCCGGGCAGTGGTGGCACCAGCCTTTAATCCCAGCACTTGGGAGGCAGAGGCAGGCAGATCTCTAAGTTTGAGACTAGCCTGGTCTATAGAGAGAGTTCTAGGACAGCCAAGGCTACACAGAGAAACCCTGTCTCAAAAAAAAAAAAAAAAAAAATCACAAACAGGGGTGGAGAGATGGCTCGGAGGTTAAGAGCACTGTCTGCTCTTCCGGAGGTCCTGAATCAATTCCCAACAACCACATGGTGGCTCACAACCATCTATGAGATCTGGTGCCCTCTTCTGGCACACAAGGGTACATGCAGACAAAATATTGTATACATAATAAATAAATCTTTTTTTTTTAAAGATTTATTCATTTATTATGTATACAATGTTCTGCCTGCATGTGTGCCTGCAGGCCAGAAGAGGACACCAAATCTCATTATAGATGGTTATGAGCCACCATGTGGTTGCTGGGAATTGATTCAGGACCTCCGGAAGAGCAGACAGTGCTCTTAACCTCCGAGCCATCTCTCCAGCCTAATAAATAAATCTTAAATGATCTTCTGCCTCTACTTTCCCAGTACTAGAATTCCAGATGTCTGTCACCATCCTGAGCATCTTAGTTTCATTCCTATTGCTCTGAGAAAATACTCTGATGGAGGCTGGAGAGAGATGGCTCAACACTTAGGAGCAGCTGTTCCAGCAGAAGACCTGAGTTCAATTCCCAGCACCCACATGGCAGCTCACAGCTGTGTCTAACTCCAGTTCAAGGGGATCTGATGCTCTCTCCCGACCTCCTCGGGGTCTAAGCATACACACGGTGCACATAAACAAACACAGGCTAAACACTCATCTACATAAAAGAAATAAATCCTTAAGGAAAAAAAATGCCTGACCAAAAAGCAACAGAGGGGATAATTCACAGTCCATCACAGCAGGGAAGTCACACTGGCAAGAGCTTGAGGTGGCTTGTCGCAGCAGAGGGAGTGTGTGCATGCATGCTTGGCGCCCAGCCGGCTTTTTCTACTCTCTTACAGTCCAGGGGCCCAAACCCAGCAGTGATTCTGCCCAGTTTCCAGCTGGGCCTTTCCTCACCGATGAAGGCACTCAAGACACTCTCCCACAGGCCTGCTCACAGGCCAGTTTAATCTGGATAATGCCTGGTTGAGATTCTAGATCGTCGAGCTGACAATCAGGAGAAACCTCCACGCCTGGTTTTGTTCGGGGCTGGGGGTGGAACCCAGTGCTTCCAAAAGTCTACAAAGTTATTTTCTGCATATATGTAACCCTTAGTGGATTGCTTTTCTGAGGATTTATTGGGGTCTGTTGGAAAAAAAAAAAAAAAACAAAAAACCCTAGTTGCTGTCTTCTTTCCTCTGGAGCTAGTACATGCCAGCCATGCCCTCTGCCAAGAGTCACATCCGCAGCCTGGGACACATGATCCAGTCAGCATGTGGTGGCATGGCAGAGCTTCTACAGCCGGCATGGCATCCGATTCGGGCTCAGAGATCTGCCCTCACTTTGGAAGAGGCTCCCCACTCGGTCCTGTTTCCTTTCCCTGGAGACATCCTGAGAGAGTTTTCCTTATGTTGAAAATTGTGGTCCCAACAACACAAGGCTGAAAGAGAGAGCTGGTACACCAGAAACTTAAGGCCCAGTCTCCAGCACCACAACAGAACCGCCTATGCCAGGACAGCCTGGCACAACCCGGCTATCCAGACCAGGAAGAGGTAAGGTCACAGTGAGGTACTCTTTCCTAAAATACCAATAAACACGGGGAAAAATAATCCACAAAGGGTCAAACATATGCAGGAAATAGTCCACGTATTGGCTTTTGAAATAAACAGCCGGGAATGTAAAACTCATAACTATAAGCTGTGTGTGCCTTCAGTTCTCACCATTTAATGCGAAGAAGAGAAAGTGAGTGCTGAATGGAAGAAGGAAGGGAAAGGAAGAACCAGAGAAAGAATGAAAGATGATCCTGCCCTCGGGAGGGAGAGGCAGGAGGATCAAGAATCTGAGGCCAGCCTGGGCTACATAATGCGTTTGAAGTTCAGCCCAGCCTGAACTAATGGACTACACAGTGAGACGCTGTCTCAAAACAAAACAAAACAAAATAAAATAAACAAAAACAAAGCAAAACAAAAAATTTAAAAAAAGCATGAGGGGAGCTGGGAAGGCAGGGAAGTTGGGAAAGCACTCGCCTTGAAAGTGTGAGGACTGGGACCCCCAGGGCTGTGCAAAGAATCCAGCTACCCCGGCTGCTGGTCCACGCAAGGCTCCGCCCACAGACAAGAGGGGACAACTTGGCCCTGTGACTCGAGGGTCCCTCAGGGCTACAGTTATCCTACTGGCATGTGGGCTGTCTCGGTCGAAGACACTTCACAGATCACTGAAGAGTAAAAATCAATTTTATTTAATACAACATCCCTCAGGGGCCCTGCAGCCAGGTGGCTGAGGCGAACAGGGGGCGTGATGCGGGTTAGGTATGATATTCTGTGGCGAAATGGAGGCAGCTGCCATCCACCCACTCAAGCCACCTTTGGAAACAGCCCGGGACCTCGGGAGACTGTTCCTTTAGCACAGGGAATAAATAAAGAAAAATTAGTGAGAAAAGTACACATTTCCTTTTACTATTTTTAAAAAAATAACATTTGCTGTAGCCAACCGTTTCTCTCCTTTAGGCCTTCAGCATGGAGAGGAAAAGAAAGATCTAGAAAGTGGTTTAAGGATGTCTGAGCTCAGTCCAGTGCTCGTTCTGTCATGGCCGGCTTCAGGCTTGTCGTCTGTCAAGTGGTCATTCCATAGGCGCTGCTCCCAGTCGGCTGGTCCCCCTTCGTGGGGCAGGCCATGCATGGGACGACGCAAACCTGAGCAGCACTGCAGACCTCCAAAGAACAGTCAGCCCAGAAGGAAAAGGAAAAACAGAGAGAAAACAAAACAACAACAACAACAAAAACCTAACCCCCAGACGCGGCCATTCACTCAAAGTAACTGACCACGGAACAGAAACTGGCTTCCGAGTAGGAAGATGCATGGAGAAGCCTGTTGTCTGTCCCAGATACAATATTTGGGCTTCAAAATATCCCAGGCTTTATTCACCTGGAACCTCCTCTCACTCTCCCAAAACGAAAGGACGCTCCAGCGTGGAAGGGCAGTCGGGCTGGCCGATAAACAGCGCCTCTGGATCTCTGTACACCCAACATTATTAAGGGGGGGGGGGATTTAAGATTGGAAGGCTTGGTAGCTGCTGATTCCAGCACTCAGGGAGAGCAGAGGCAGGCGGATCTCTGTGAGTTCGAGGCCAGCCTGGTCTACAAAGTGAGTCCAGGACAGCCAAGGCTACGCAGAGAAACCCTGTCTCGGAGAAGGCTTGGCCTGAAGAATTGCTGCTTTCAGTGGGGGTGGCGCCGGCTCATAAATAAGTGTGCGGGACTCTTGGAATACGGGAATCGGCTGCTCTTCCTGGACGCCCTCCCATGGGCATGCACCTGCCTCGGTTGTCTTTAAGTTCCATCAAGGGAGCCTTCCGTTCTCTGTAGGACAGAAGACCAGGCGAGTTAGGTCACACTTTCAGAGGAGGGAGGCGTAAATTGAAGCAGTACCTCATACAAGAGTTACAGAGGGACTGGGGGTGTGGGTCCTCGGGTCCCAGCATGCAAGAGGCCCCAAGCTCCATCACAAGCACCTCATAGAGTACATGTCTGTAATCCCAGGGCTCAGGAGGTAGAGGCAGGAGGACCACAAGTTCAGAGTCCAGTCTAGGCTAGCCTGGGATACATAATAAGCCCTTTACTCAAACGGACAAAAGCACTCTGCAAGCTGTGCCACCAACCTCTGGAACGCTATCTCCTAGGGCAGCTGTTGTCCCAACTGATCTTTCCTTCACCCCATGCCCCGCTCTGTAGGGGCCGCTGTGTCCATCCCGGAGTTCTTGCTGCAATCAGTGCATCGGGCCACTGCGTCAAGTAGCCATGTATACCCTGTGGTGTCCCATAGGTGCTGCACAGGGACAGAATGGAACCACCAGGTCCGAGAGATCTCACATCCAGCTCCTGTGGGACCTCTACCTAACCCAGACACCCTCTCCAGTCTGCCTTTGTTTTTGTTTTGGAGACAGAAATGCACTCTGTAGCCTGGGCCACTCAGCCATCCTCTGGCCCTTGCCTTCTCAGTGCTGGGATTGTAGGTGAGTCACCAAGCAGGCTTAGGTCCTTAGGTCAGCTTTTTAATTTAAAAACTTGGCTGCGGGTGGTGGCACACACCCTTAATCCCGACATTCAGCTGGCAGAGGCAGATGGATCTTTGTGAGCTTTTGCTTTTTGACACAGGGTTTCTCTGGGTAACCTGGCTGTCCTGGGCACGTTTTGTAGACCAGGCTGGCCTTGAACTCACAAAGATCTGCCTGCTCTGCCTCCCGAGGGCTGGGATTAAAGATGTGTGCCACCTGGCCTGGCTCTTTGTGAGTTTAAGGCCAGCCTGGTCTACACAGCCTGTAATTCCAGCTCTGAGGAAGGCACAGACTGCTAGAGCTTTCTGGCTTCCACCCTATAGCCCAGATTCAGGGAGAGGCCCTGCTTCAAATGAATAGGCAGAGAAGTTGATAAGCAACAACTAACACCCTCTTTGCGCGCACACACACACACACACACACACACACACACAAATCCTTTAAAGAAATCAAAAAGGTCTAGAGGGCTGGTGAAATGGCTCAGTGGAAAGGTGCTGGCCTGATATAGGTCAGGCCTGATAAACTGAATTCAATCCCAAGACCCAGAGGGTTGAAGGAAAGAACCAGCTCCCAGAAGTTCTCCTCTTGCATGCTTATGTATGTGCACAAGCAAACACATCGTAAGGACAGTAAATTCTGGAGAACAATGTGGAGACAGCTGTGCAACAGTAGGAATGTACCTTGTGCCCCCGAATTCACTTCTTTTAAGTGCTGGGGATGGGCCTCATACCACTAGGCAGGTGCTCCATCACTGAGCCACAGCCCCGGCTCTTGAACAATAGGGCAGCAGTTAATTTTAGGTTGTGTATGTTTTACTGTTTTTTTTTTTTTTTTTTAAAAAGCCAGGCACCATGACAGATGCCTACAGCCCAGCACTCAGAAGCATCAGGAGTTCAAGATCATTGTCATCGGGCTGGAGAGATGACTCAGGGGTTAAGAGCACTGGCTGTTATTCCAGGGGGCCTAAGTTCAATTCTCCACAACCACATGGTGGCTCACAACCATCTTTAGTAAGATCCGGTGCCCTCTTCTGGTGTGTAGGCAGAACACGGTATACATAATAAGTAAATAATTTTTTAAAAAATCTTTGTCATCTGTACAGATAGCTCCTAGCTACCCACCCACCTCCTGGTTCCTGGACCCCTCTATGCTGAAGAGGACAGGCTCTGCTCCAAGATCTCATAGTCCCCGATTTTGTTTTTATTTGTGTGCATGGATCACGTGTGTATACTCAGTTGTGTGCATGTGAACATGTGTGTGTTACGGGGTTCACGTGCAAGTCCGATACTTTCATCTTCCACTTTGTTTGAGACAAGCTCTCACTATCTACTGTTGCTGGTCCACGAGCTTCTAGGGGCTCCTCACGTCCCTGCAAAAGACTGCTGTGCTTCCCAATGCCTGGCTTTTGCATGGATTGTGGGGCTGAATCCCACAATCAGGTCTTTACCCTTGGCATGCATGTGCTTTTGCTCACTGAGCCCTGATTGACAACACTGTGGGGAAGCCGTGAGGGCCCCGTGCACTGATCACATGAGCAACCTGAACTGACTTTGAAGATTCTGTAGAGTGGAAAGAAATTTGCCGGGCAAAAGGGCTGGGAGATGCCAAAGCAGAGAAACTTGAGAATGGAGAGCCCCACAGAACAGGAAACATCCGGGCCCACTGTCCTGAACCTCCTGTGGACACAGGACACCTTGCTGTAGGTAGAACCCATAGAGGTTGGAGCAAAAGAAGATGTAAATGTGAGGGAACCTGACAGCCAGGCTGGCTGGCCTCCTGAAGGGGAGCTGAGACTCTCCATTTTGTTTTGCTGGGTCTGGAGGCTCTTAGAAAAGGATGCAGATCTCAGAGACTCAACTGGAAGGCTCTGGCTCCTCCTTTGCCGGGATAGAACTGCACAAACGGTCCAAGAAAGCTGTGTGACCCGGAGGGCTGGAGGCTTGCCAGTGCTGGCAGCTGCTGCTTGCCATTTCCTCCACTCTCCCAGAGAAGGGAGACGTGATCCCCGTGTCCAGCATTTCAGCAGGCCCCAGACCAAGCCTCTCCCCCAGACGCCTCTGTTCTCCCTCTCTTGAGGCAAACAGCACTCTGGATAAGGCTGCAGGACCAAGTCCACAGACAGGAAGGGCTGGGCCACCAGCAGGGCCCCAGGAACTTCGAAGTAAAGGTTAACACACTCATAGTGAGGACCGGACGTGCCAGCAGCCAGCCACCCACGGTGCCTCTGCACAGGATGTAGTGCCCAGTAACCCCAAAGGCCCTTCTGACCACCCCACCCCCACCCCGTCCCCAATTCCTACTTCTAGAGAGTACCCAGTGTGAGCAGTTGGGGTCTATCAGGACAGGGCTGAGTTCCCTTAATCCCTGCAACATCTAGGCGAGAAGTCGCCCAGTGTACAGATGTGGAAATGGCGCTGGGCAAGATGGCTCAGCAGGTAAAAGTGTTTGGTGCACAAGTCTGAATGTTTACTTGAGTTCTGTCCCTGAAACCTACAGGAGGAAGGGATGGACTCTGGAAAGTTATCCTGATGGCATCATTTGCACATCTGCATTCACACACACACACAAACACACCAGGTTTTGAAAAGGATGACTGATGAGAAAACAGAATCTTGTACACAGACTAAGCAACTAGTCAGGATAATTCAAGTTTGAATGTGGGTTGTCTACGCTCACGTCAAGCTTTCTTTGGCTTTGGTTGATTCCTAGGCTTTGAGCGCTTTCCCTTGTGTTCTGGGGGCGGGGGGGGATATTTCAGAGCCAACTGAAGTAAATCTCTCAGTCACATCCACTGTTGCCAGACTGCTTGAGGAAAAGGTCTTTAAAGGAAGCAAGCGGATTTTCTATGATGGCTCAAGGGTTGCAGAGCTTCTCATTTAACCCTTAAGAAAATTCCAATAGGCAGATGTTATTGTTCATGTCACCATCATTATCATCACCACCATCATTATAATCATCATCACCAACATCCTTATAACCATCATCACCAACATCATTATAACCATCATCATCACCATC